TTAGAAAAATACGACAGCCTGATGAAATCAATGTTAGAAAAACCCCTCAACCTTTCTCTCAGCGACTCATAATGGAAACAGGCCTCCCTTCCTGTCAGACTCGGGGGCCTCGGCGTTCGCACAGCAACACAGATTGCTGTACCAGCGTTCCTGTCCTCTTTAGTGGTGTCTGACAACTTGGTGAAGGAAATCCTACCTGAGTACCCAGGTCAACAGGCAGGGGTACATGATCCCAGCTTTACGGTCTGCACCACCAAATGGGTCTCTCTCGCAGGACCATCACTCCAACCACCACCTTCTGAAGCTTACAAGCTTTTCCACTTCCACCATTATCTCTTTACTTTCGTTATCAATTCTTCTCCTCTTTCCGCCTTCTTCTTTCTTCTCTTCCCCTACCCCCATTATATCTCTATTTTGTTCAACTCATCCTCTAAATATACCCATATCTCCTCCAACTCTTTTTTCCTCTTCCATCTGCCCATTCCATCTCCTCCCGTCCTCTCTTTCCATCTCCCCTCCCTCTCACCTGCGCCTTCACCTCTCTTTCACAATGTCAGTACAAGGTAAAGATATCCCGATAAATCAATGAATATACGCGCCATGTGAAGGCATCCGTGCAGTTCGGATTATTCCGATGAAGAATCTGGTTTTTAATCCTATGCGAACGTGCGACTCTGAAATATAAAAATATGACTCAAGTCGAAGTTCCAATTATATTTGAAGGAAGAAACGAGAAAATTTTATTTTGGTGGAATACGACTGATAAGTTTTCCATTGGTGTTAAGGAAGGAAAAGGGGACAAAAAGAGATAGACATGCAGGAAGACAGAGAAAGAAAGTAGAAATTGAGCTAATTAAAAAAAATCTGCACATATAAACTGACATATAGACAGAATGTCAACAATAAGTCGTTCGCACTATAACTGGTGGTTATATATTATGAGATCCCTTACAACATATGATTACCACATATTACCAGACACCACATAACATATGGCTTCCATACATCAACGTATGATTTAATGCAATACCTTGCTACATATGGAGAAAAGAGGGGCATGGTAGAGAAAGAAAATTAATACAGGGAGAAAAGGGGCAAAGAAGTTTAGAAGACGGGTAAGGGAAGGGAAAGAAGAGGAACAATGTAGGGTAATAAGAAGAGGGGGTAAGGTAGGGTGAGGAGAGGAACAATGTAGAGAAGAATGGGAAACAGAGAGGCAATGCAGTTACGGAACAGAAGTTATGGAGAACAGAGAGTGAAAAAAGCTTGACGAAAGGGTGGAGACGGAGAAGGAAGAGGGAAGCATTTAGGAAGAGGTAACATGTATGGGAAGATGGAGGAGGAGGAGGAGGAGGATGGAGGTAGAGGAAGAAGGAAGGTGAGGTATTGTGTGGAGATGCCACTAGTGTCATCCAGCACAGGCTGAGCGCCTCCTCTTGTCGATATGTCTTCAGCCAATCCCCTCCTACCCCGACGGCCTTCACACACACACACACACACACACACACACACACACACACACACACACACACACACACACACACACACACACACACACACACACACACACACACACACACACACACACACACACACACACACACACACACATGGGGCCTCGTAGCCTGGTGGATAGCGCGCAGGACTCGTAATTCTGTGGCGCGGTTTCGATTCCCGCACGAGGCAGAAACAAATGGGCAAAGTTTCTTTCACCCTAAGTGCCCCTGTTACCTAGCAGTAAATAGGTACCTGGGACTTAGTCAGCTGTCACGGGCTGCTTCCTGGGGTGTGTGTGTGTGTGTGTGGTGTGGGGGAAAAAAAAAGTAGTTAGTAAACAGTTGATTGACAGTTGAGAGGCGGGCCGAAAGAGCAAAGCTCAACCCCCGCAAAACACAACTAGTAACACACACACACACACACACACACACACACACACACACACACACACACACACACACTCCTCGTAGAGGGAAGAAAAGCCCTGGTTAAGACTGAAGGGTGATCTGGCTCCCACGTGGCAGGAGAAATTACCATTGACCTTGGCGATGATAATCACGTTGAATATAAATTAATCCCCAGGCTAGCTGACACCCGGGACTGACACGACAGTGTTTGATTCCACAACTTGCTTTCTGAAATTTTGAGTGAATTTGAACAGTGTGCAGCCATCAGAGTCATGACCATGGTTGTAGTACCACAGGTAGGATACGAGAGTACCACAGGTGGGAGACGGGAGTACCACAGGTGGGAGACGGGAGTACCACAGGTGGGAGATAGGAGCCCTGCTTCCATAAATGGAGGTTCTCTGATACTATAGATAGAGGCACCCCTGTTATAATAAACAGTGGCACCGTGTTATTATAAAGAGAGGCACTCTGTTATCACAAATAGGTTTGCATCTTATCCAAAAGGGGTATCTACTGTTTTTAACAGAGGTACCCCTGCTGCTATCATCAACATAGATATCTTGCTATCATCAACAGAGACATCCTTATTTTATAAACCAGCCCAGTATCTCTCCAAGCTTTATCAGTATACATGCTTGCAAAGCGCTAAAGGATTGAGAAAGTATGTACGCAGGATTAGTATGCTGTTCTCGACAAACCTGGTGTGAATGACATAATCTTCAAGAGGTTAGGGAGGTATTCTTAGGTTCATACACGCAATTGTTTATAACCTCGTACAATTTTCACGTTTATCTACAAAAGAACGGAATTCTACTCTAACCCATTTCTCCACTTCTCCCATTTTCCACCCCATTCCTTTCCCACTTTCTTCCCCGGCGTTCCTTACAGGCTTTCCTAATCTTCCGACCTCCCCGCCCTCGAGAACTTTCTTCCCTGTCTCAGAGCTCCTGCAATAACAACAGCGTTAAACTCCCTGGTCTCTTAAATCCCGCGTAGGTGAGTTTCATTTCCAACTTCGTCCTGGGGAAAACAGGCGATGAATGCCTAGCAGCTTCAGTTTGTCTAGTGAGTGCCATGGAGGGAGGAAAACAATGAGAGAGAGAGAGAGAGAGAGAGAGAGAGAGAGAGAGAGAGAGAGAGAGAGAGAGAGAGAGAGAGAGAGAGAGAGAGAGAGAGAGAGAGAGAGAGAGAGAGAGAGAGAGAGAGAGAGAGAGAGAGAGAGAGAGAGAGAGAGAGAGAGAAATAAGATTAGAAGTCAGGAAAGAGAGAGAGAGAAATAACATTAGAAGACAGGAAAAAGAGAGAGAGAAATAAGATTAGAAGTCAGGAAAGAGAGAGAGAGAAATAACATTAGAAGACAGGAAAAAGAGAGAGATAAATAACATTAGAAGACAGGAAAAAGAGAGAGAAAAATAACATTAGAAGACAGGAAAGAGAGAGAAATAAGATCAGAAGACAGGAAAGAGAAAATTGTAAATATGTGAAGACATTCAAATATATAACTTGATATAGTTAGAACAGTAAACAAATAAAGACGGATTCATGTCATAGTAAAATAAAACGTATCTTGTCTCACTGTTGACAAAATTAAGCACACGACTGCCAGTGATATTAAGCTTTAGCACATACTGTATAAGTGCACACTTGAAATTTGATATAGATTAACTTTGCATTAGCCACAATATTGCGATCTAACCTAGTCATTAAGATTAGGTTAGGTTAGGTTAAATTAAGTTAGATTAGGTTAGGTTAGATTAAGTTATGGTAGATTAGGTTATTTTATATTATGTAGGTTAGTTTAGGTTAGGATAGATTAGGCTAGGGTAGGTTACAATAGATTAGATAACGTCAGGTTAGGGTAGGTTACAATAGATTAGTAACGTCAGGTTAGGGTAGGTTACAATAGATTAGATAACGTCAGGTTAGGGTAGGTTACAATAGATTAGATAACGTCAGGTTAGAGTAGGTTACAATAGATTAGATAACGTCAGGTTAGAGTAGGTTACAATAGATTAGATTACGTTAGGTTAGGGTAGGTTACATTACATTAGGTAAGGTTAGATTGGGTTAAGTTAGATTACATTAGGCTAATTTAGGTTAGATTAGATTGAGTTCTTTGTATTGTTAAGTAAGATTTGGTTTGGTTAGATTAAGTTATATTGGTTACTCATAGAAATCACACTAACGGGATATGTATCAATGCAAAATCCATTAGTAGATTTTCTCCTTGTCATATATCACGTTAATGAGATTTCTGTGTGTATCTGTAGTTGGGGTGATAGGTGTGGGACCACTCTGACCTTCCACTAGAGTGATTGTGGATCATATGTTAACATTTGGATTGACTTCAGTAAGGGCCTCCAGACTTCCTGTGATTTCAGTACAAATCCGGTTGTGTAACTTTCACAAATCAGTGGTGGTTTAGTGGTAGAGTACGCGACTGGCAATGCCGTGGTCGCAGGTTCGCGCCCACCTCACAGCCCTAGTGAATTCTCTCAAGTTCGATTAGCTTAGGTTAACAGTACTTTCTATGGAGCGTCATATGTTGTCTATTGAGTAATTTATCATTTTGAACATAATTGTTTGTTATTTAGCTTTTGTTGGTTATTGAGTTTCAGATATTGGTTATTGAGGCTTAAATATTGGTGAGGTTAGTTGATGGTTATCTGGGGCTTAGAGGCTGATGCTGAAGTTCATGTTGGTAAATGTGGTTTATATATGTTGTTGCATACTCAGTGTTGCTCACTGAGGCTCAGGTGAGGTTCTTATGTTTAGATGTTGCTCACTGAGGTTCAGATGCTGGCCATTAAGGTTCAGAAGAGGGGTTCCTATGTTCAGAGGTTGATCATTGAGGTTCACTGGTTGGCCATTGAGGTTCAGGAATTGGTTCTTACGGTTCAGATGTTGGTCACTGATGATCAAGTGCTGAATTGAGGTTCAGGTGAGTGTTAATTTTAAGGTGTATAGTTATCAATGTCAAACAACCTTTAAATTATGAAGTTACTGACATTCAAATACTATTTACCAAAATAAACGTAATTATTGCAGTTTATTATTATTCCACAATTATTTTCTTTTTCTTTCGGTGTAATCATGAGTAGTGACGTCAAACTCGCTAACCGCGTCATAAACAGGTTAAAGTGGCTTGTCAGTGGATTGAGCAACAGCATTCACAAAGTGCAGCGACACGCCGCTAAAAATATGAACATTAGAAGGTAAAAATAAACTGCGGGAATTATGTCGCTAAATTTAGAGTGGCTCACGAGTGGGCAGCAGCGCTGCCTTGATCACCGGCGAATGTAAATGACCACAAAAAAGTTGGTAAAATGTGGCGGAGAGCAATTTAACTATTTACAAATCTAGTGGGCGGCAGTTCAGTACCCCAGGACGCTGCTAGTCTCGACACGAGGCTGGCCATTGTCTGGGTAGAGTAACTGGTGCCAGATCCACAACGAAATTTTGTCAAAATTGTTAATTACATTAAAAAATAACATATGGTCTATAGCAAATTACCGTCTGTACCGAGATCATCTCCTGGAACTCTTAATTACTCTTGGAGCTTTGCAATATAAACTCTCGGGACAGATAAGGTGAAGGTAGCAGAGAAAGTTGTCATTTTGCCACGGGCGTTTGAACACGTGCGCCGGGCTTAAGATAAGGAAAAGAGTGAAGCAGAAGAAAAACATTTAAATCATTAAAAAAAGGGAAATAGAATTACACTTCAGATGTGTGCCACCAGAAAACCAATCACAACACAACTACAACATCACAAGACCAGTAGCAGCACAAACGTATCAGCACCAACAACACCACAACCCAACATCAGCATCAGTACCACCTCCACTACCACAACAACATCACCACAACACAACATCAGCATCAGTACCACCTCCACTACCACAGCAGCATCAGCATCACCACAACATCAGCATCAGTACCACCTCCACTACCACAACAGCATCAGCATCACCACAACATCAGCATCAGTACCACCTCCACTACCACAACAGCATCAGCATCACCACAACCCAACATCAGCATCAGTACCACCTCCACTACCACAACAGCATCAGCATCACCACAACCCAACATCAGCATCAGTACCACCTCCACTACCACAACAGCACCAACATCACCACAACCCAACATCAGCATCAGTACCACCTCCACTACCACAACAGCATCAGCATCACCACAACCCAACATCAGCATCAGTACCACCTCCACTACCACAACAGCATCAGCATCACCACAACCCAACATCAGCATCAGTACCACCTCCACTACCACAACAGCATCAGCATCACCACAACCCAACATCAGCATCAGTACCACCTCCACTACCACAACAGCATCAGTATCACCACAACCCAACATCAGCATCAGTACCACCTCCACTACCACAACAGCATCAGCATCACCACAACCCAACATCAGCATCAGTACCACCTCCACTACCACAACAGCATCAGCATCACCACAACCCAACATCAGCATCAGTACCACCTCCACTACCACAACAGCATCAGCATCACCACAACCCAACATCAGCATCAGTACCACCTCCACTACCACAACAGCATCAGCATCACCACAACCCAACATCAGCATCAGTACCACCTCCACTACCACAACAGCATCAGCATCACCACAACCCAACATCAGCATCAGTACCACCTCCACTACCACAACAGCATCAGCATCACCACAACCCAACATCAGCATCAGTACCACCTCCACTACCACAACAGCATCAGCATCACCACAACCCAACATCAGCATCAGTACCACCTCCACTACCACAACAGCATCAGCATCACCACATCCCAACATCAGCATCAATACCACCTCCACTACCACAACAGCATCAGCATCACCACAACACATACATCACCTCCACAACTACACGATCACAATTACATCACCACCAAATCAAAAACAACACCCATACATTATTTGTCACAACAGCTACCCAAACCCTCGCCACCCACCACAACTCTCTGACTCCACAGCACTCACAGGAAAAAAATATACGAACGGTAAATGAGGATCTGAAACAAACTAGAAAAAACCCCACAGGCAGCAGACAGCATCTGTCCCCACATCCTCTCCTGGAACACCCCTCCCCCCCCCCCCTCCTCCCATCTCCCATAAGCTGGGTTATCGCACAATCATTCTCTCTTATTGACTTGTTCCACCCGTGAAGATAACAACCAATCACGAGCCACCAATTGTTTGACGTCATATAAGAGCAGGAGTGTCGGTCCTCTGATTGGCCAGTCCCCTTACCGATGTCATAGATGGGAGTGAAGCTTTCCTCCCCCGCCCCTCATACCTCTGTTCTACCCCCATAACCATTCTCTTTTTTGAGCTTAGCATCTTACCTTTATCGGGTTCCCGTGTTACTTCTCCTTGTTACTGACTCGCAATTTTTGGGAGTAAAGTTAGTATCAGAAACCAAAGTGAATGGACTGTGTTCATCTTTGTGCTCCTGGCTTGTAGGTTGTACTATTTTGTTAATTAATAAGGGTTTTGTAGATATGAATTTCATCTCTCTCTCTCTCTCTCTCTCTCTCTCTCTCTCTCTCTCTCTCTCTCTCTCTCTCTCTCTCTCTCTCTCTCTCTCTCTCTCTCTCTCTCTCTCTCTCTCTCTCTCTCTCTCTCTCCGGCGCCTTCACGGTCCTCTGCTATTTTTTCTCTCTCAGTCAAGTTATCCAATTAGTTATGTAAACAACTTTGCCTTAAACATAAAATATCAAATATTATTTCATTAATAAATTAATTTTTTTCAGTCACATTTTAAATATAATTAACATTCTTACAAAATACTTTTTTGCAATTATATGTATTTTAATTATTTTAGCAGTTACATAACAATATTGGTAAACACAAATTTCACACTAATAAACATTCTTCAATGAACAACAATAAAACATAACATTTATAAATATTACAGCAATCGTTAAGGCTATTATTAAACATTTTACAAATTACACAATTCTTACGCTAATGAAAATTCTAATAAATTTTTAACCCGTACAACATTATTTGAAAATATATAAAATAAGATATGTGATAAAATAATAAAAGTACCACAGTCAGTGTCATTGCCAGCGTCAGTACTACCACAACCACGATTACCATCACAACCATCAGTATTACAACCACAACCACCATTACCACTATTATTACTCACATCTCAAACATTCTTACAAAATGTTTTTTTCTCTCTCTCTCTCTCTCTCTCTCTCTCTCTCTCTCTCTCTCTCTCTCTCTCTATCTCTCTCCTCTCTCTCTCTCTCTCTCTCTCTCTCTCTCTCCTCTCTCTCTTTCTCTCTCCGGCGCCTTCACGGTCCTCTGCTATTGTTTTCTCTCTCACCATTATATGCCCTTTTGCTCAAACACCATTAATATGCCCTTTTGCTCTACGCGAGGTTTCTGTCCACGCTGAGCTGGCCTTAGGACACCTGCGTTATCATTTGACAGATGTACCGCCCCAGTCAAACTCCCCACCTGATAATGTCCCACCTGAAAATATATAAAATAAGAAATGTGACAAAATAATAAAAGTACCACAGTCAGTGTCATTGCCCGCGTCAGTCCTACCACAACCATGATTACCATCACAACCATCAGTATTACAACCACAACCATCATTACAACTATTATTACTCACATCTCAAACCACCAATATTACCTACACCGCAACAACTAACATTACCGCCTTTATTACACACACACCTCAAACACCATTACCCCACACTACAACAAATATCACTACCACTATTATTTCTAATATCACCATCACACCACTAATATTACCACCACCATCATCACTACTGCCACGACCATCACCACTATTATTTCCCACAATAATAGTGGTAATACTAAAATCACCAGCACTAATAGTTCTGGTGATCACACTACCACCAGGTCAACCTTAACTATTCCCCCCTTCCCCTCTATGCCTTTACCCTCACATAAACCCCCTCCCATTTCTCCTCTCCTACCATTCTTTCTTTCCCTTCCACATCTTTCTGCTTGCTATCTCTCATACCTTTTATTTTACCTCCATTCCAATCACAACTGCCATCTCATTAGCTCCACCGGTCTCCCTCATCTAGGGAGAGGTAGAGCTGCCTCTAGATGCTCTGGTGCGAGAGCTTATCTCTAAGGCAGTTGTCCGGATGCGTCAGAGAACACGTGGGGGAAAATAATTCAGCATGCTGATTAGGTGAATGGCATTGTATTGACGGGTGAGCGGTGGGTGACGGTCTGGACCGTGGAGCTGGGGGTGTGGGGGTGTCTACGGGTGTATTTCATGGTTTATTTGCTTTGTTTGGGGGGTTTTGGGGCTACCTTTTTTGCTATCTTTGGGGGATGACGGGTGTTTGGGACGGTTTTGTTGGTTGTTTTTGGGCCTGTCTTTGTGGATGACTTTGGGGCTGCCTCTATTGCTGTCTTTGAATTGTGTTTGGGGCTGACTTTTGGGACGTCACTGGAGTATGTTCGCAGCTGTCTTTGAGGTATATTTGAGGGCTTTCTTTTGGAATATCTTTGGGGTATGTTTGGGACTGCTTTTGGTCTGCATTCGGATCTGTCTTTCGTGATGTATTTGGGTTGTCTTAAACACAACCTACACCTCAAGAATGCACTTCTTAAATAATAACAATCTGGTAGATTCTGATATTGAACAATAATACGAACAAGAACTTGGAAGTTTATTGTGCACCCCATACTCCTCCTGTGAGTGGTAGTTTATTGTGCACCCCATACTCCTCCTGTGAGTGGTAGTTTATTGTGCACCCCATACTCATCCTGTGAGTGGTAGTTTATTGTGCACCCCATACTCATCCTGTGAGTGGTAGTTTATTGTGCACCCCATACTCATCCTGTGAGTGGTAGTTTACATGGACTTAGTGTAACTAGCAGACAATAGGTCCGACCATGCCAATCATCACCATACAACAGAACTTCCACAGTCGGCTGACGGCTGACTTGTCAGCGAGCCACCCGAACGGAAGCTGTGCAGATTGCATTGCCACATCTCTGAATAGCCACAAACTATCATACATTCTACTGGGGACGAAATGTCTTCAACCTATTCTCAAAACTTAAATGGCTGAAATGCCCAGCTTGCTTGAACGCTGAAGCTTCGACGACTAATCTGAGTATCTGGTGAGCCATTTTTGGTAAACAGAAAAGTCTATATTACATTTTTAGTGAAGCTTTTATCATCCTACAATTAATTATGTATAATAATATCCTTCCTAGTTACTAACTCCATTAATTTAGTTACAGAAAATATTTCACAATGGCAAAACCCAATACTCGTTTGGCAGAATGGTTCCTCCACCTTTAGTATTAAAACTGTCCAATTTCGGTACTCCTAACTGACCACCCACTCCCCCCATGTATCAAGATTTACATACATATCATAGTGCTAATATTCGCAGTTATTTATTTTATTATAATTATGATGACTTAAGCACAGCATATACTCAGTGTCACAAACTCGTATGCTAATTCACTCACAAACCTAACTAATGTAAATACGGCTAATTGAGGCACATTCAATTTCGAGAAAAGTATACACGTATATTTTGATAATTTAGGACTCTTAATTAGTATAATTCACAATGAATAGATCCGGGTTTGTATGATTTACTTGGCATAAGACTTATTGTTCTGCTTCCTTTCTTTGCCATTGTCCTCGTTTCCTGCTTTTCAAGAAGCTGGCCAGATGAGTTTGCATTTGTTATTGATGCGTTTTAGAGTGATGGTGTGTGTGTGTGTGTGTGTGTAC